TTCCCCCCCCCCCCCCTTAAAATGGACCGCCCCATTTTTTATTTTTTTTTATTTTTTTTTGAATGGGGGGGGTGGGGCCCTGGTCGCGCCGTCGGAATCTCGACCCCGATCGGCAGGACCACCCTCCCCTTGGCCTCAACGCACCGATTTCGGCCGCGTCCGCGACGGTTATGCATGCGGCCCCGCAGCCCCGACCGCGGGCCGCGGTCATGCCCGTGGTGACCGTGGCCTCTGTGGACACATAACTCTTCACGTTTTGCCACTTTGTTTGACTGATGTGGCTGTGTCAACCCATCTGTGTTCCCGGACATACAGTACATGGACAATATCTTAGTGTATTCTAAATCTTTCGATGGACATGCTCAACACATCGGGTGGACGTGGGGGGCGTTGCGAGATGCTGGTTTCAAGATCGCATTAGAAAATAGTGTGTCAACCCTCGAACCTGCGTCAGCGACGTAGGCGTGGGGGCTTTTTGAACCGCCTCGACTTTTCTCGAATCTTCCCTCAAGCCCCCTCGGGTCACCACGTACCAAGGAACGAGATCTCCGAAAGCCTGAGAAATAACGAACTCACTATTTTCTAGTGCGATCTTGAAACCAGCATCTCGCAACGCCCCCCACGTCCACCCGATGTGTTGAGCATGTCCATGGAAAGATTTAGAATACACTAAGATATCGTCCATGTACTGTATGTCCGTAACCATGTTCAACGGGGGTTTCGAGTTGAACGGTTCAACTCCCGTTGAACCTCCGTTTCAACTCGGCGTTAAACCCCGTTACAACGTGGTTCAACTCGGCCCGCGGATTTTTTTTTTGCAGGAAAAAAATAAGTAAAAAATAAATAAAAATATGGGGGTGTAGATTGTTTTGCTCTCTACATCCCCATATTTTTACTTTTATTTTTTTAGCATTTAAATTATTTTTTAAAAAATAAAAAACATTTATTTTTTTTGCATTTATTTTTTTTTTAAATTATTTTTAAAAATTATTTTAAAAAATAGACTGATTGATTGATAGATTAATGATTGGAGGGGGATGGGTCGCCCCCCCCACCCCCACCCAATCAGACACACACACACACACACACACACTCACACACACACACACACACACTCTTACTTGCGCCGGGTTTGAA